GGCGAAACCACTGAGCTAAATCCCCACCCAGCCCCTCTACGTCAATATTTGATTTGTCTTACTGCTTATAATTGTAGATCTCTTTATGTGGTTAAAAGTGGTGACACACCCCTGTAATCTCAGTACTTGGTTTTGTTTTGTGTTTTCTGGTTTTTTGATACAAGGTCTTGCTATGTAGTCCAGGCTGGCCTTGAACTCACTGTGTAGCCGAAGCTGGCCTCAAACTCGAGCCAATCCTCCTGCCTCAGCCTCCCAAGTGCTGGGATTACAGGTGTGTACCATCACACCCAGTAATCTCAGCACTTGGGAGAATCTGCAGGGGGGTAATGCTCTAAATTTGAAGCCAGCCTAAACTACAGAGAGTTTAAGGCCAGCCTGGGCTACATAGTGAGACTGTATCTCAAACAAAACTAACTAAATAATATAAAAAATATTTTTAAAATATATGGTTAAGGGTGGTACATTATTTGTTCTTATAGTATGTCAATGTCCAGTTTGTCTTTGACACTATTATTGTTGCTGATTTTATTGATATTGCCAGAGTGGCACAGTTGTTGGTATTAATTGGTTTTCTCTTTATGCCAATATCTGGATTGCCTTTGTATTATTAATAATACTGTAGTTCATTCCCAAAGAACTGGGTCCTGGGCCTGTTACATTGCATCCTTCCCTCCCAAATTAATGGAGGTTGTTGGATCTGGGGATAGAGGCGAAGGCCTACTGCTAGCCATTCCTGGAGAATATCATTGGTTCAGCTTTTGTTTGCTTGTTTTGGTTTTTGAAACAGGGTCTTGCTATTTAGTTCAAGCTGGCCTTAAACTCACTATGTACCCTAGGCTGGCCTCAAACTTGCAGTAATCCTCCTGCCTCAGCCTCCTGAGTACTGTACCACCATGCCGGCTTTGGAGTGCACCACTGAAAAGCAGATATTAACTAAAGAGGTCTCCATACTAGCAACAAAGTCTTTCTACTATAATCAACTCATAAACTTAAAAAAACAACCACCCAAAACCCAACATGTAAAAGAAGAAACATGAGAAGACAAAAAAATTACATATCTCCAAAAACTCCCAAGTGCCCCAAAGTAACCCAGAGGGCACTGAGGGAGAAGAAATCAAAAGCTGTAAGGCTGGGGGAATTTAGGACCAGCACCTTTCCCTTGGTTCTTGAGGTCGTGGCCTTGCTCCCGCTGGGCAAGGGAAGTGTCCCGTCCTCCACGCGCATGTGCGCGGGGCCTGATACGCTCCTGGGTCCGTGATAGGACTGTGCGGGACAGAGGCAGGCGCCATGGGCGGGACCGACAGCACCGGCCGGGTCACCTTGGAGAACATGACCGTGGTGAAGGCGTCCGGCTTTCAGGAAATGTAATTGATCGAATGAAGGAATCCTCCCCATCTAGTTCGAAGTCTCAGCGGTATTCTGGTACTTACGGTGCCTCAGTTTCTGAAGAACTGAAAAGAAGAGTGGCTGAAGAACTGGCCTTGGAGCAAGCCAAGAAGGAATCTGAGAATCAGAAACAACTAAAGAAAAGCAAGGACCTAGACCGAGAGAGGGCTGCAGCCAATGAGCAGTTAACCAGAGCTATCCTTCGAGAGAGGATATCAAGTGAGGAAGAACGCTGGAAGGCAAAGCACTTGGCTGAGCAGCTGGAAGAGAAAGACCGAATGATAAAGAAGCAGGATGCGTTCTACAAAGAGCAGCTGGATAGACTGGAGAAGAGTTCAGAGTTCTACAAAGTTACCACAGAGCAATATCAGAAAGCTGCTGAAGTAGAAGCAAAGTTCAAGCGGTATGCTTATCATCTGGTCTGTGCTGATCTGCAGGCGAAATCCTCCAGTGTTACCATGAGAACACCCACCAGACCCTCAGCTGCTCTGCTCTGGCTAACCAGTACATGCACTGTGTCAGTCATGCCAAACAGAGCATGCTGTTTGGAGAAGGGAGGATAAAATCAGCTTTAGAACATACAAAACTTTAATTCCAGAAGTGGAACATTTTTTTTCTGAGTAAGAAAATAATGCACTTAAAAAGAGAAGACCATTAAAGAGAAGCACCCGAAAATGAACTCAACAGAATCATATCATGCTTTGATCAACAACAGTTTGAGAAGCCAAGGTCTACATCAGGAATCAGTCATCAAAGGACACTGTTCTGTTCCAGTAAACCCAATTTATGAAAAAATAAAAGAGAAGGGCAGTGCTCTCCACCTTTTTGTACTTTCTATTCCACTTCTACTGACCATATGATGTGTCTTTTCACACCAGCCTCCACCTTTTGGTGACTTCACCTCTAACAAAGCTGGGAGCAGGTGGGGAGGCTGAGCTAATTGGAGTAGGGAGAGGAAGGAGCAGAAAAACACAGAGCCCCAGGAAAAAGTGCTGTATGGAATTGCCTAGGTTGTGTCTTACTCATTTCCTCTTTCTTTCTTTTCTTTGACTAAGAGCTATTTCATTTTAACTTATGGTGGTCATGCAAGTAGGAGAAAAAGGAGAGAAAATGTTCCTCTTTTACTGGAATGATGTTTATGATTACAAATGAAATAAGACATTTTTATAAATATAAAAAGAACCTTGGGTTTTGCAGCCTCTAACATGAATATTGACAACTTTACTCACTATCAATAATAAATATAGTTTCTGACCAAAAGAAAGCTATACAGCTGAATTATTTGAAAGGATATCAGAGATTACAAAACACATCAATAAGGTGCTTGAGAGCTCAAAGAGGATATAGTGAGAGACAATAGTCTTAATAAACAAAATGATCAGTAAGTTTACAGAAGACACTATTAAAAAGCTAACTGAGCCAAACAAAACAATACAAAATATAAATGACCAGTTTAGCAAAGAATGAGAGTTCACGAAAAGGTACTAAACAAAAAGCCAGGAGATTAAAACTTCTGTTGAAAGTACAGGGAGCAGAAGTGACCCATGTGAGGACAGAGTGTCAGAAGTGGAAGGCTGATGTCAGTGACGACTACTCAGAACTACCTGAGAAACAATAAGAGAACATGAAAATGGAGCTAATAGCCGCTAGATGACGCAGAGAAGACTAAGATTAACTGGAATTAGTGAAAAATCAGAAGACAGCACAATTTTTTTTTTCCACTTGATCTTAGCCAAAAGGCCGAGAAGCAATTGTTTTTGTTGTTTGTTTGTTTTTTTTAAAGCCCTGTTTATGGAAATAATAACAGAGTCAGGCATGGTGGCCCATGCTTATAATCCCAGCCCTCAAGAGGCTGAGGCAGGAGGATGCTGTGAGTTTAGCGCCACGCTGGGTTACATATTGAGACACTGTCAAGGAAGGAAAGGAAAAGGAAAAGGAAAAGGAAAAGGAAAAGGAAAGGAAGCTTGCTTTCCAAATAGAAGGAAAGAATTTAACAGAGAGATAAATCAGGTATATAGAACCCAAATAGCCATGATTAGGAAAGAAACTCTCCACCATACCTCACAGTCTCAGAAGTCCAACACAAAGACAGAATCTTAAAAGCTGTCAGGAAAAGCAACTATTCACTTATAAGGGTAAAGGCACTAGAATTACAGCAGATTTCTCAACCTTAAAAATCAAAAGAGCTCGAGTGAAATGATTCAAGACCTAAAAAAACAACTTTCAACCCAGACTGATACAACCTGTAAAACTATCTTTCAAAATTGATGGAGAGGCTGGGGATTTAGCTCAGTGGTTCTACTGCCTGCCTCGCAAGTGCAAGGACCTGACTTCGATCCCCAGTACAAAAAA